CGGGCCCATTTGCGGCTGGGGAGACGGAGGCCTGCGCTTGGCTCTCCGGGAAGCCGAGCTCCCAGCGCCCCCGCGGCTGTCCAGCCCTCTCGCCCTCTGAGCTGCGCGGGCTCTCAGCACCGGTTGGCTAGTTCCGGGGCGCCGGTGGGTTTGGGGGCCAGAGGGGCACGAGGCGAGACCCGTGACCTTCCAGGTACCGAGCAGCCGGCTTCCCCAGTAATCCCGCGCGAAAAGCACATGGCCGGCTTGGTGTGGACTCCCCACTGGTGCCCACGGGAGGCAGGGCCTGGCGGGTGGGGGGCAACCGGGAGGCCGCCGCGTGATTCCAGGACGGGCGGAAGGTGGCCCTCCACCCTCCACCCTGCCTGGCCTGAGCCCCACTGGTGCTCTGGGGAACCACATCGCAGGCGCCCCGATCCCTCTGCTCACAGGGGAGGAGCGGAGGGAGGCCTGAAGCACTGGCCAAGGCTGCACACCTGGAGGGGACAGAGCCTTCCCCAACCGCTGGCCACAGCTGGACCTGCCCTGAACTGGGGATGGGAAGGGCTGGGGCGGGAACTGGAGGCCCACGCAGGTCCCCCGCGGTGTCTGCGGCCTGTGCTTCTGGGGCCACCTGGCCAGGCAGAGCAGGAGGTGCCCCGCATGTCTCTGAATGGCCGCAGGGCAGGCGAAGGAGAAGGTGCTGTCTTTTTGGCCCCAAAGGCAGCACTTGGCCCTGGAGAGTCCTGCAGGATTGCAGGAGGAAGGCAGGGCACCGACAAGGGGGCGTCTGCGCCCCGCTGACCTCAGTGGGGAGGGCGTGGGGTTCCTTGCCTCACCTGCATCTACAGGGGCTCAGCTGTGGGATCATACCCAGACTGGCACAGCCCAGTCACAAAGCCAGTGCCCCACCCTGCGGGAATGGCCGCTCTTACAGGAAAGAGCATGGCCTGGGTGGCCCCGCAGGCCCTCTGGCTACTGAACCTCCCCCCACCTGCACCCCTTTGGCGTTCTCACCCCGCGGGTGCACACGTGTCTCCTGGACACAGAGGCTGCCCTCTGGTTGGGTTGGGCACCTTGAGCTGAACCCCTCATCCGTGGACCAGGCAGCCCGGCATCGCCCACATGGAACCGCTGAGGTGATCGTGTGTTCTGGTCAATGCTTAGATAACAGTTTGAGACGCAGCTCCCCTTCCTGGCCCAGAACTGCTCTGGCCCCTGGGTTCACAGCTCCAAGTCTGATTCTGAGGAGGAGGCTTTGGCTGCTTTGGATTCACGCTCGGTTCTAGGATGGGCCCCTGACTGATGGCCTGCTCTGGGAGGCATCCCCCACCGCTGCCCAGACTCAGGACTGCTTTCCCCACTCTTCTCACCTGCTCCCTGGGCGACAAATCCCAGCCTCACAGTGGGAGGGGCCTGGGCAGGACCCGAAACAGTGTCCCAGTGTCTGCTGTTCCTGGGCAGGTGGGGTTTGGGGGTCCTCCAGGGTTCAAGCCTTGGCTCTAGGCCTTGGCTGGGTCTTGTAATGGACCCACGACCCTCAATTTCCTCACTCACTGGGGCTTCGAAGGCCTCTGGTACCCCGAGGGTCCTTCATGAGGATGACATGAATTTCGGGGGTCCTATCCTGGGATGGCCAGCAGGTGGCAGCGTCGGCCCGTCTGCTCTCCACCGGGCTCCCCTGTAGAGTTACACGGGATTAGGTGGGGAGTTTTGCCCCAAAGGCAATCGAATCTAGATCAGAACCACCCGCCAAGTGGAGCGACCATCTGCCCGAAACCGAAACCGCGGAGGGAAGGAAGTGCCTGGAGGGGTCTCAGGGAGGTGGGGCGGGAGTCAGGTCTCCATGTCCTGGCTGACCAGGCAACCAGGGAGCTCTGGCGGGTTCCAGGTTCTGGGGTGGGGCATGGGGGGTCCTGCCAGGGGAGGGGGCGTTTGCCGCTTGGTGCCCTTGTCTCCTCGTGGCAGCCCCCTCTTGAGCTCTCGGGACTTTTCACAAACCCTGTCCCTCTCTGCTTCAG